GTCGACAGCTACCTCGACCGGCTCAGCAGGGTCTACCTGGGACACACCTGAGGGGGCAGGACCCTGGGGGGGGAGGGGGTCTACCGGGGGAGTACCTGGTGCTAGGAAGAGCGGCGCGGGGGGGAGAGAGGCAGTGCGGTAGGGAAAGACACGGTAGTAACACACCGACTCGTCAAACGTGACGTCCTGAGAGGACAGAACACGACGCGAGGTGGGGTGGTAGAACTGCCACCCGGGTGCGTCAGGAGGGAAGCCAAGGAAGACACAGGGAACGGCACAGGAGGACAACTTGTCCCCTGTAGTATCACGGACAAAAGCTCGAGATCCCCAGACACGGAACGCGGACGCATCTCCAACCTTCCCCGTCCACCGCAGAGTAGGTGTGGTCTCCTGCAAGGAGACACGAGGCTGAAGGTTGATCTGATGCGCAGCGTACTGAACCGCGAACGGCCACAGAAAATGGGGAGCAGCCGCATGGATCATGGACGTACGAGCGACGTCCATGACCATGCCAATGCGGCGCTCAGCAATCCCATTTTGCTGCGGGAAGGCCGGAAGCGTGAACGTCTGGCGGATGCCCTCCGAACGACAGAAGGCCCTCAGGAGGTCGGAGGAAAACTCCCCACCTCTGTCTGAGTGCAGACGCAGAACAGGAAGGTCCGAGCCGAAACTCTCACTGAGCTGGCGACGAGCACCGCGGATCCAGTCGATCAACACCTCAGGGACCTCACCCTTGCTGCGCAAGGGGAAGACTGTGGTGTAACGCGAGTAGTCGTCAACGACCAGCAGGAAGTAACGCTCGTGACCCTGTCCACGAACGCGGGCTGGGCCCCACACGTCCATGTGAAGAGTCTGCAGCGGAGCCTCAGTCGGAGGGAACGAGGAGTGAGGAGCGGCGCGCTGCCGGCCCTCGACACAAGGAACACAGGTGGGGGCAGGCCCCGGAGGAAGGGGAGGGAGGGACCTGGGTAGACCCGAGACAAGGGCACGGGAGGCCATACCTCGAAGACGAGGCAGGGAGGGGTGACCAAGGCGGTGGTGCCAAGGGAGAGTCTCGTGCGACAGAGGACGACACGAGCAGGGGGTAGACGCAGGACTAGACCTGGACGCGGCAGCAAACACCTGACTAGACGCAGCTACCTGACCAGACGCAGAGACCGGAGGAGGCGCAGTAGTCAGTGTGTACAGACTCGACCTTGACCGACGGGTGAACGTGGCCAGGTGGCGGCCCGTCCGAGAGCAAGTGCAGTGGGTCACACGCTGACCTCCAGGGGTGAACTGGTCAACCCACGCGTCCTGGAGGTCAGCTCCACTCACCAAGTTCGTAGAGAACGAGGGGAGGTGGAGTCCCGACAGCAAGCCCGACGGGGCCGCAGGACACGGTAGAACCGTGGAAGAGCGTGCAAGGACTGGGCCCCCAAAGGGGTCAGCAAGGGAGACCGCAACAGGCCGACTGAGCGGCGTGAGCGTGGTGCTGTCTCTAAAGAAAGAGCGCGAAGCACCAGAGTCAAGTGTGAAGGTGTGAAAGGACTCAGTAGGTGCAGTACCAGAGGGAGGAGACGTACCAGCACCTGGAGCAGCAGACGCACTAGCACCTAGAGCAGCAGCCGCACTAGCACCTAGAGCAGCAGCCACAGTGCCCGGGTCGGGCGGGACACGCAGGTAACAGTCACCCTCAGTAATATCAGCAAGAGCATACATGGCAGCAAGGATAGCATCGAAATCAAGATCAAAGATAGGCACATTCTGTAGAAGCAGATCATGCCAGCGAGGGAGCTCAACAGCGTCAGGAAACTGGGCACGCCAGGCGTCAGTCAAGCGACCGAAGCAGTGCTGCGTAGTGTGTGGCAGCCCACACGCCTCCCCACGACGACTGCCGGTGCAAAGAACGTAAGTGCAGGGACCTGCACCCCTAGACCTCCCACGCCCAGCGTACCACTCACGAAGCTGCTGGACCGACGGGGTCTCACGGGAGCGCAGCTGCTGCTGGCGCTGGCTGCCACCAAAGCCTCCACGCTGCGCGGCTGCACCTCGACCAGCACCACCGCCGCCTCCACCTCCACCACCGCTGCCGCTGCCTCCACCACCTCCGCCACTGCCGCCACCACCTCCACCGCCGCCACTGACGCCCCCACTCCCGGTACCACCCCCACCTCCACCGCCACCTCCTCCGCCTCCTCCACCTCCTCCACTGCTTCCCCCGCCGCCCCCTCCACCACCCTTGCTCCCCTTGCCCTTGCTGTTGCGGCGTCTCCCACTAGGGGCAGACGCAGCTCCGACCTCCTCAGTGCCAACGAGGTCGACAGCGGCAGCAGAAGCAACAGAGGGGAGAAGGGGGACAGGGGAACACCCCTCAAAGAAAGGGGTGCGACGGTCGCCGCGAGAAGCACCTACAGCTAAGATACTCTTCTCAGCTGCAGCAAGGCGCTCCTCTAGTAGGTCGACAGTCAGCTCGGTGGGGCAAAGGGAGAGAAAGTGGTCCCTGACTGAAGAAAGGGAGTCAGGGAGGCGGGTGACTAGGTAGTAAAGGGTGATGTACATGGGGGGGGCGTTCTTGGCACAGAACTCTGCGGGAAGGGCAGCGCGGTAGCGGGCGTCACTAGTGCGAAGGTGAGCAACTAGGTCAGCGACTGTGGAAAAGGCGGCAAGGTCAGGGAAAAGGTACGGCAACATGAGGCGGCTGAGGGCAGCAGTGGCAGGGGAGGAGTAGCGTGCAACTACAGCGTCGTACAAAGACTGAGCAGTCTTGTACTGGCCAAAATGCGCGCGCTCAGCAGGCGGCAGGTGACTACGAACAGCAAGACGAGCAACAGCGTCACGGGTGGTCCACTGCGAGCGAACCGTACTGTCAGCAGTGGCAGCAGGAGCAGTAGAAACACCGGACGTGTGATCGAAAAGGGATACCCCATCCCTAGAATCACACTGAAGAAAGAGCTGTAGGTCGTCAACCCACACGTCAAAGTCAACTGCACGTCCCTCAGCATCAAAGGTGAGAACGGTAGGACTAGCCATAGCAGCAGTAGGAGCAGTAGCAAGAGTAGCAGCAGTAGCAGCAATAGCAGCAGTAGCAGCAGTAGTAGCAGAGGCAGTAGGGCAGTGCAAGGCAGTGCGGCTCGGTAGGGCAGTGCGGCTCGGCAGGGCGGCGCGGCTCGGCTGGGCGGCGCGGCTCGGCTCGGCGGCGCGGCTCGGCTGGGCGGCGCGGCTTGGCTGGGCGGCGCGGCTCAGCTGGGCGGCGCGGCTCGGCTTACCAGAGACGTGTGCAGGGGCGCGCCGTGACAGCAAGGGCCGCGCCAGAAGGGGGGGCGTGCCAGCAGGGGCCGCGCCAGCAGGGGCCGGCAGGGGCGCGTCAGCAGGGGCCGGCAGGGGCGCGCCAGCAGGGGCGCGTCGGCAGGGGCCGGTAGGGGCGCGTCAGCAGGGGCCGGCAGGGGCGCGTCAGCAGGGGCACGTCAGCAGGGGCCGGCAGGGGCGCGCCTGCAGGGGCCGGAAGGGGCGCGTCAGCAGGGGCCGGCAGGGGCGCGTCAGCAGGGGCCGGCAGGGGCGCGCCTGCAGGGGCGCGTCAGCAGGGGCCGGCAGGGGCGCGTCAGTAGGGGCCCGCAGGGGCGCGCCAGCAGGGGCGCGTCAGCAGGGGCCGCCAGGGGCGCGCCAGCAGGGGCGCGTCAGTAGGGGCCGGCAGGGGCGCGCCAGTTGTTGGGGGCCGCGACGGGCTAGGGGCCGCGACGGGCTAGGGGCCGCGACTGGCTAGGGGCCGCGACAGGGAAGGCGTGATGCGTGCTTCGGGCAGGGCAGGAAAAAAAAATCTAGTGGTGGGCCCTTAAAAAAAACGTTCCCACTAGGGAACCTGCTCAGAATACCATGTTAGAATGTGAACGAATGAATGACTGAACTAGAAAGCAGGTGGGTACATATAGGAAACCTAAAAGTGTTGTACCCTGTAAGAACTACCCCACTACAGCCTAAACAGACTATAGCATGTATGTTTGACATCCAACACCGTACCACAACGGTTTCTCCATGTCGCGCAAAACATGGGCCTGAACGATGCAACATCGCCCTGTCTAAACATGGCTGTCGATAATGCATCACCGCTTGTGCGTTAGCCCTGTGCTTCATACCACACCCTTTATGCACCTTTTATAAGGTCCATGCAAGTGTTGAGCACAATCCAACACCATACCACAACTGTTTCTCGTTTGGCACTAGTGATCGTCGTGTTAGATTTCGTACAGTGACGCATAACCGTTTTGGCATAGCCTACTCATGCTTGGTTCAATTGTATGAAGTAATAATTCTGGATGCTCTTTGTGTGTGTGACATGATACAAACCCACTACCTTACCACAACCCCAGACTATTACATTAGCAACCAATTTTTTGTTGATTGTATTTGTTGTAGTTTTAAATGTTATTTAGTTCGTATGTGCAACATTTTTCGTTCGCGACATCACTGTACTTTGCAGGGTTTAGGTTGTGTTCGCTCAATTGGCTCAAAAATTGTTCTAGCATGACAAGTGATTGATGCGTTGGCAACATTGATTGGCCGAAGCATCTCAAACGACCCCTCCCGCAACACAAGCACCCGCCAAGCAGTACTTCCGCCATTGAGCGACTGTGATCGAGCGGTGGGTGGGTTTATGATCAGGTGGCTACACGTACACCGTCCGATCTAGCCTGATCTGATTACAGTAATCTCTCTAGTCGCGCAAGCCACCCCAACTACCCTCGTGCCCCACCCACCTGCTTCCGTCACCCTCTGGCCCACAACTTTGACGCTGCTCGCTGTTTGACACAGATGTTTCCAGATCGCCCGTGACTCACCAGTCGACTAAGTCATGGGCCGTAGCTCTTAGTGACTACTATTCCAGTATTGATTGAAGCGGAGGTTTTCGGAGAGAGATGACAGAATAGACCGTCGACTCTCCCTTCGTTACATTCATTTGCGGTTCCCCTTCGAAACCGGCTCCACCGTTCTGCCTTGTAGAAATTTGCATTCGTAATAGAACCATGACACGTGCAACACGGCAAAAAGAAAAAGAGGAGGAACAGGCCGGACGTCGCGCGACAAGGAGGCTGTCTCAACAGACCGATAGGGAGGGTGGTGGCGGCTCTAAATGTACTAATGCGTCCGCCGCGCGTGGCACAGGGCTGAAAAAACTGGGTGGAAAAAAGGCCGCGTTTGGACAGGAGAAGTTCGGCAAGAAGGCGGAAGAGAAGGGGAAGCAACCAACGACACGTAAGCATATTTCTACCGTGAAAAAATATGCGGATGTTGCCTCTGGTAGAACCGATCCCGGTCCGACTAACGACGGCACCATCGGCGGCAAAGAAGATCCGGGGCGAGGGAGCGTGAGTCTTGAAGTCCCGTCGGCGGAGAGAGAGGGGTCGGCGACAGGGGGAAACCATGGCGACGCTCCCCGCGCCGAGCATGCCGCAACCCAAGAGTCCGAGGCGGAGGCATCCCAACACGGACTGACGCTGCTCCAGCCGACCGTGGTCGAAATTTCTGCTGCCGTGGTGGATAAGGCCAAGGCGGGGGAGCACGATTCGATGGAGGATCTCCAACACAGCATCGCCGACGTAGGTGGCTCTCCTCCTTCTGGTGGACGCGGGAGGCGTAGGCAGAGGAAGAGCAATGGGGAAGAAGAGTATGACACCGCCGTGCCCGGGGACATCAATGCGCGGTCGAAGAGGCGCAAGAAGGGCCGACCCGCAGCGAAGAGAACATCCGGTGGAAGGAGGGGCAAGAAAGCAGCGAGGGGGAAGAGACCGAAACGGGGCGAAGAAGACCCTGATGATGCGGAGGAGGAGGATGAGGGGGATGCGGGGGATGAGGAGGAGGAGGCTGATGAGGAGGAGGATGCGGAGGAAGAGGAGGATGAAGAGGATGCGGAGGAGGAGGACGCGGATGTTGGGGAGGAAGAAAAATATGAGAATGATGACGAGGAGGACGAAGAGGAGGAGGAGGAGGAGGAGGAGGACGAGGAGGGGTACGAAGAGGATGAGGAGGAGGAGGAGGAGGAGGAGGAGGAGGAGGAGGAGGAGGAGGAGGAGGAGGAGGAGGAGGAAGAGGAGGAGGAGGAGAGGGTCACAATAGGCTTGAATGTGCCTAAAACGAAAGATAGAGTTCACAGTCGGATTTCTGCATAGCGGTTTCAAACGTTGATAGCGTTCTGGTCACAGCTCCAAATGACCTGATTCAACTTGGATCTGGAGCGCCTTAACGTCTTCTTCAATAATCAATTTAGATTGCACGATTTCATTACGAATTGACGACATAGCGTTGGTTTGAACGAACGGTAGTATGGCAGCCACTATAGTCTTAGAACACAAATTAGGAAGAGTTACGAGTTGGGAATGACTCCCAGCTCCTACAAACCCCAAGAGCCAAGGTACAGTGATGTGGAACAGTGCCACACTGTCCCCAGCCACGAAGGGTCTCGAAAATACCCTCCACAAGGGCCTACACCAAGAGAAATGTTACACTACACAAGGTAATGTAACTATTCTTGAAGTTTACCCTTTTGGAGAGCTTCGAAATCGCTTAAATCTTGAAACCAAGGCTCTGGTTCTTCAAGATAAATTCTTCCTTGAGTTCTTGAAAGTCTGCTGCGCACACCTGCGACACGTGTTAGAATAAAGAACGAATGAATGAAACAGAAAAGGAGGGTTTTCACTAGCAGGCAGTTGAGTACATATAGCAAACCCTAAATTGGGCTGTACTCACTATTGAGTACCCCACTGCAAGCTAGACAAATATAACATTCTGACACACCCCCATAGCCAAAGTGGGGTGTAATCAGCACAACAAGCAAGCAGAGCAATAGTTCACAAATATAAGCAAAGCTAGAGGCAGTCACAGATGGTAAGTGAGGAGGAGGAGGGACTGTGAGAGGAGTGGAGATAGGAGACGACGGGTGAAGCTGCAGAAACACGGGCAACAGGAGCGGCGCGCACTGTGGCTACCGGAGATTGTAGCCTCCGGACTACTGGAGTAACTGGCTCCGCGGCTAACTCTGAGCGGCAGGAGCAACGGACCCACAAGCGACTGGCGCAGCAGGCTCGCTGGGCTACCGGAGATTGTAGCCTCCGGACTACTGGCGTTGCTGGCGACACGACGACTGCCTCCGCCCAACCTCCCTCTAACTGTCTCACCCCCCTTTCACACACCCCCTGCGGCACCTCTAGCACTGCTCACACGCCACCCCCTAGTACCACTGCGTCGGCTCCCACACACCCACCCCCCTCAGCGGCAGTTGCAGCAGTGGGAGATGGAGGAGGAGCAGGGGAGGCCGCACACACCCATCACCCCATACTTGCCACCCCCAAACCCCAACACAGGGCAGGGCCGCAACGGGGGCGGCAACAGGGCAGAGCCGCGATAGGGCGGCTGCAGGGCAGGGCCGCGATAGGGCGGCTGCAGGGCAGGGCCGCAACGAAGGACGGGAGGGGCCGACGCGCGGCCCCCCAGGTCGCCTCGACGGGCGACGGGGGGGGGGGGGCGACGCGTGGCCCCCCAGGGCGCCGCGATGGGCTACGGGGGGGGCGACGCGCAGGTCCCCGGGGGCGCTTCGACGGGCGACGGGGGGGCGACGCGCAGGTCCCCGGGGGCGCAGAAAACCGCCACGCGCCCAGCAGGGCGGCGCGACGTGCAGAAAACCGCCGCGCGCCCAGAGCGCGCGGCGGGAAGAAAAAGTGCCGCGCGCCATGAGCGCGCGGCAGGCAGGAAAACAGCGCGCGCCCGAGGCGCGCGACAGGCAGGACAGCAGCAGGAGCGGAAGCTAACGGTGGGCCCATGCACAGGATCGACCCATGAGGGTCGACCTGCTCTGATTCCATGTTAGAATAAAGAACGAATGAATGAAACAGAAAAGGAGGGTTTTCACTAGCAGGCAGTTGAGTACATATAGCAAACCCTAAATTGGGATGTACTCACTATTGAGTACCCCACTGCAGGCTAGACAAATATAACATTCTGACAACACGCCGAACGTTCAACACACGACAAAATAGAAAAAACACACACGACACGCAAACGACGATGTGACACGCGACTAGCGATAACTCGCTATTGACTCGACACACACATTCAAAATCATGCGTCATCATTCACACACTATTGTAAGCATGAAATATATATTCTCTCTTGCCCTCATACCATTCCATGCACACACGCATGCACGCACACGGACAACAAGCCGAAAGCAAACCGTAGGGTTGCACCAACAACGACGAGGATGAGGAGGAGGAGGAGGAGGAGGAGGAGGAGGAGGAGGAGGAGGAGGAGGAGGAGGAGGAGGAGGAGGAGGAGGAAGAGGAGGAGGAGGATGTGGCGGCAGTGAAAGGATGGGGCGGGCAAGGCAGACGAGGGAGTGGTACAGGGAAGGTGGGGGGCCGGACTCGCCATTCCCGAAAACGCGGGGCGGGTGACGCCCCGCGTGGCGAAGCAGCGGGCAAACCGAAGACGCGTAAAGTGAAGGTCGAAAGCGAAGGGGTTGGTAAAAAGCAAGGGAGCTAGGGATCAAAAGGGGATGGTGAAGGAAAGGGCGGCCGCGCCAAAGGGGTTCCAGTGGGTTCTGGCAAGAAAGAACCAGCCGGTAAACGTCGCAGCGGCCACCAAAGCACCCCACGGAAAGGTGGCAACGAGAAGGCGCAGACAGCAAAAAAACCGAAGGGACAGCTGAAAGGTAAGCACTGTGGCCCATACACATGGCGTGGCTGCTGAACTCTCTGCTCAACCGTGCCAATTAACACATTTCTTTACATTGTTTCTCCCCTGCAGGGAAGGAGAAGGTCGACGAATCTGCAAAGCAAGGTAAGGCCTCTTGTTACAAAACAGTACCCGTTATAACCCGATTTAGATTCAAACCGCTGATCGTATGCAAGCATGTGTGCCCCTGTATTGAAACTAATCGACTCTAGTTTTGTGCTCCTGCTTCCTATAAATCTCAGCCCCTCGTGTTACAGGCATTGGGCCACCGGTAAGCGTGCAACGGATGCAGCTAACAAAGGGGGTCGGAAGAGCGAGTGTTACCCCGCTATCCACATGAGCCCCAAGGTTCTACACGCCATACTCCGGCCCGTCAAAAGTCGCTGCCAGGGCACCCGGCGCACCAAGAGGAGAGGAATCCGAATCCCCTCCACCAGGCCACGTCACGCACTCCCCACTCACCTCACCCTCATACCCATATCGGCAGCTCCACGCTTCTCCTGTCTGGGGCAGGGCCGTCTCCCCCCTCGCCGGTCCTTCTCGCGGCCAAGGGCCAAGCACTTCTGCCAATCCCTTCCCTGAGCTGCCCTTTTCCCGCCAGCGTGATAGTGTGAGGGCACACGGGACTGCTGCAGAAGACGTTGATCCCCTTGGCCAGAAGGGGGATTCTTCACACCCTTTTCCCCCGCTCTTGGGTGCCCTATGTGAAAGTGCGGAGCACGAGCAGTTCGTTACACGGGAGGAGTTCCAGGCGCTACGGTCTGAGATGTACGCCATGTTTGCTCAGCTCGGCCTGCGTCGTGGAGCACCTGCCAATTATGCCGGGGGGTCCGCAGTGGTGCCTATGAAAGGTACCCCGCCGCCGATGAGTGCCGTGGACAAGGCACGAGTGCTAGTGTTGCCGGAGACAAACCCATTCCCGGTATGTGGCGGGCCAAATGGGGCGGGTTGGGGTTGACGTGGCAACCAGGGCGGGGTTGGGGATGACGTGGCGGATGCAGGAGGGTGTGACGTGGCGGAAGGCGAGGGTTGGGGATGACGTGGCGGTTTGAAAGGGTACACGTGAGCGGCGCATGACGAAGCGAGGCGTGTCAGGTGGGTGGGGGGTGACGTGGCTTGTGGTAGGGGGGTGTGACGTGGCAAGTGGGGCGGGTTGTTGGTGGACGTGGCGGATGGCGCAGGGTGTGACGTGGCAGTGTTGCTAGTCACCATCCCCTGGTCATGCGGCCACCCTCATAACTGCTGGTTTCTCTCTCCCATGTCATGTTGTATACCCTACACCCCTGCGCAGAACAAAGCCTATTAGTGTGCTCTCAGCTCATGTGTCTGAACCCGCCGGAGAAAATACAGTACTACCCTGCACCGGAGGAAGTGTTCGACGCGTTCTCTGTCTACTTGTCTGCAGAAGGGCTTGAGGCAATGAAGCTACTGTGGTTGCACAATGACAAGTCAACCATGGGAGTCTTCAACCACCAGCTGTCCTCAACAAGGTCAACTATCAACTCCACCCTCAGGCCAGCAGCATACATCGGCATGGGCCTTGCCGATTACAGCCATCTCGTGGAAAGCCTGCCCACTGAGCTACACCCAACGACCTGGTTCGACGACGATCATCTCCTAGCCGAGTACAGAGATGGTATGTGCAACTGGAAAACACCATATGCCAGTTGGCAGCTACATATCACCGTGCGATGTGGCTCACCCTGACTCTCATCCCCCCACTTGATTTCTCTACAAAACCCTTTCCAACCCATACCCTCACTGCCAAAATGCAGAACAGTGGGCCCTCAACTGGCACTTTGACAAGGCCACCGGGATGCCCTTCAGCAACCCCTTGTTTGCTTATGCGTTCAATCTCTCCTTCAAGAGGGGCGGGGCGGTGTTCACAAAGTTCAAGAGCCGTATGGTGGCATGGGGCCTGTTTTCGGTACGGATGTAGATATGTGTTTGTACCCCTATGCCTCATCCCCTTCACCCCTTGCCTGTACTTCAACTAAATCCCTGGTTGATTAAGCCTTTGGAGCTACGTAGATAGTGACGACTGAATCACCGCTTTCAGTTGGCTCATTTACCCGTAACCCACCCTCCTCATAAACCATCCACCCAACCCTACACCACATTGCAGATCGAATGGCTCCTTCTGCAGGACAAGCGTCGCAAGCGAATCAGTAGCCAGCCGGAACAGAACAGGCCAGACTACTAGGAGTGGTGCGAAAAGGTCAAACAGATGATCCACTTTGCTGTCGTGGAGCGGAGGATCCCCCACGATCCGGCTATGGGTGTGTTCGTCTTTCCGAACAAGTTCCTCATCGACGATGACGACCTTGGAGATGTCGTCCTTGCCCACCGGGCGCTTTCAAGGCCCGGCAGTGCGTAGGCTATTTGACCTGGTGCTAAGAATGCTTGTTGCTAGAATGCTGAATAATGGTTGATGTAAACCGCAATAATAAATGCAATTTTGAAATCCTCAATATCAAAAATGAACAAAAACAGAATTTAGTTTTGAATAATTTGGTCACGAATTTGCACCAAAACGGATTGCGCCCGAATGTCATCCGGAAAAGCACGCGTGCCTAATTGGAACTTGAACCGAGCCAAACCTTGTCGTGAGATGTGTCTCGCAGCTCCTATCAAATGACTCCAACCGTCTGTCCAAATTGAATCCGGATTTTTTTACGCGAAGACAATCGAAAACAAAATTCTTCCAAACTTGGCATAGGGTTTTTGTGATGGTAGATCTCTGCCTCTGCACTCGACGAAGCCACAGACGACGACCGTGTAGACCTCCACGACACAGCACCACCACCCAGACTAAAGCAGTAACCCTGAGTCGAGCGCTGGGTCTCCACGTCGTCAGTGTAGGAAGAGTCGCAGTGACCGGTCAACACAACTGGCTGTGTCCCTCCAAGCACAAGCCCCATGCCTGATGTAGTCGCCAGGTACTTCGCCACCCTCATAGCAACTGTCCAGTAAAAAGGACGGTGTCTCCCAGTCGCAAGCAAAAGAGGACGCTGAGGGGAAAGGCGAGGTCCGGCCGAGTACAAGTCATCAGGTACATGAGGCAGCCCACAAGCTCTGTGTAGGGGCCACTAGACTCAAAGGGCTCTTCGGGAAAAGGGCCAGTAAGTCGGTGGTCAACGGCAAGAGGAGTGGGCTGTGTGGTGGAGAACTGAAACCCAAACCGCCGAAGGACCTGCTGCACCATGTGTGACTGAGTCAGTGTGATGGTGCGAGTGGCTCTGTCCCTGGTGATCTGTAGGCCAAGGTAGCGCTGCAGTTCATCAAGGTCAGTGCACTTGTGTCTCTTCTGCAGTTTGGATTTCACCTCAGTCAGAGCTGCCCTGTCTGCTGTAGCAAAGACCATGTCGTCGACATACACTAGTATAAAGAAAGGAGTGGAACCAGTCCGAACAAACAGCGACGGGTCGACAGAAGAAGGACGAAACCCAAGGTCACGAAGCGTGGAGCGAAGAGTGTCGTGCCACTCACAGGGTGACTGGCA